CCGTGATCCCCGCACCCGCCTTCGCGATCGACGCGCCGATCGCGCCCGCCCCTAACGCCTTCGGGCAAGCCGCTCGCGATTGCCAACCTCCGGTAGGGATGACCTCCTTAATCCCTAACGAATGAGCTGATCGTCGAGATCTTAACCGCGTCTCCGACACGCGCTTCGACGCTCGCGGCGCGGCCCCCGAAGCCGCCGCCGCCCGCGAGCGGGCCGCGGGGCCCAGCGGCGCGCGTCGCCGCTGCGCGGCCGATCGAGACGCGGACCGACCACTTTTGGAGCGCGCTGCCACTCCAAGCGGCACGGGCGAACGTCTCGAAACGGCCGCGCCGACGCCGGCGTCCGCGACGTCGCATCCCATCAGAAACCGAACTGAACTGGCGCGCGCATCGGCCCGGAGGCCATCCCGAGGCGGGGCGCGCGGCGGGGCGTCGGCTCCATCCACCGCGCCTTCTCTCGCGCGTCTCCCAACGGAGTGCTGTCGCGAGGACTGCTTGGCGTTGTTAACGCGTTCGCGAGATCAAGCCGCCATGACCTGGGTCGCCACGCGCGCCGTGCCCTTCCAATCGGCGCCCGCAAGAATGCGCGGAACGCCCGAGACTCATTCTCTTCTCGCATTAGTTGGAGCCGCTCTGGGGCGGCGCCCTGCTGCCCCTTCGCCAAATCGCGAACGCGTAAGCGGCGGCATTGTTATTCTACCTCGCGGCTCTGGAACATGGCTCTGGAACGCGCGACGCTGAATCCATTCATTTCGTGGCTCTAGAACATGGCCATCGCCCCCCGAGGAGCGTGGCCCTGATCTCGCTGGCGCCCCACTTCGCGAAGAGCCGGCCTGCGCTAGCTGCCGAGGACGGCTGCCAAATATCAGCATCAGCATTTCCTGCTGCATGCGGCATGCCTCTCGTTGGTCAGCTCATCTCTGAGCCGCGAAAAACCTCCCCCGCCATTTTGATAGGGCGCTCGTCCCCTGCGTCGCGTGGCCTTTCAAAACATAACGACCCGCTCAAATGTTTCGCTGCCCTTTCGCGCGGGGCGATCTCAACGGCCATGCCCCCAGCATTCGCGTGAATCCTTCGGGCGCCCAGCCCCGTGAATTGCGTTGCTTGAAGGTTCTGTCTGTCTAGGGTGGGGAACCAGTCCGCCTTCCAGCGCCGCTCTCTCTCTCTCTCTCTCTCTCTCTCTCTCTCTCTCTCTCTCTCTCTCTCTCTCTCTCTCTCTCTCTCTCTCTCTCTCTCTCTCTCTCTCTCTCTCTCTCTCTCTCTCTCTCTCTCTCTCTCTCTCTCTCTCTCTCTCTCTCTCTCTCTCTCTCTCTCTCTCTCTCTCTCTCTCTCTCTCTCTCTCTCTCTCTCCTCTCTCTCTCATGTCAACGAGCGCGCGTTTGAATCGGCGCGAAGAAGCCCCGAGAAGCATCGCGTCATCAGCAACGCGCAGGTCGGTGAGCTGCCTGCGTTCGGCGGAACCCGGGCGCGGACCCCGCCCCTTTTTTTTCCGTGCCGACATGACTTCGCCAAGCGCGACTTCGAGGACAACGTTGAACAGCGAACTGCTGAAAGGGTCGCCCTGTTCGGCGCCGCGCGCGACGTCGAACTCTCTGCTCGCGCGGTCGGTCTGGACTTCTCCAGATTGCCCGGCGCGCGAATCCCCCTACGAACGAACGCACTCACTCGAAATACCCCGCCGCCCACGTGCTTAGACAACAATTTGAACACGTACACTTGCAGTCCGTCAAGAACGGCCCAAACCGACGCCAATCGGTCGCAGCCCCGAGGCGCGCGCGCGGATGATTTGGCCCCATCACCCCCCGACTGCGAAACCTCTCTCCGCCTTGGTCGGGCCGACCTCCACCGTTAACGATTGCTGTCGCGATCCGATCGTCGCTCTTGCATTTTGCTTGGGATGCTCCTGCGTAAACTGTCGCGGCCTTAAATTGCCCCTGCCGCCTTGGCGTCTTGGCTGCTGCTGCCGCCCATCTCGCGCAGTGCCTGATAGGTCCGGGCTCGTTTCTCGCCCTCGCGCGATGGCGCCTTTGTGTCACGCGGCGTCTCCCGCGAACGGCGGGCTCTCCTGATGCCTTGCCTGACTAGATCCTCCTCGTTGTCGTCGCCTTCGTCGTAAGTCGGCCCCTGGCAACGAACCCCACTCCCAGGGCGCACGCGTGCCCCCACAATGCTCCAGCTTGCTGCTGGTGTTATTCATCCCCTGCATCGATCTGCTCGATAGTCGGGTAACGCATGGCACGCGTGACCTCGATCGCCCTTCTGTCCACGGCCGCTGCGGCCTCCTCTGCGGACAACCCGCGCTCGCTCTCGTCGATGACGACGTCGGACTCGTGACTCGCTCCGCCGCCCTGATAGCTGATGGCGTCGGGCGTCGGGCCCGTGTCCGCGTCACCTCCCACGTAGCTGGTGACGATGGTCTCGCGCTTCGCGACGAAACCCTCGTAGCTGATGGCGTTGGGCTCGTGCATCGCGCCACATCCCTCTTAGCTGACGACGTTGGGTTCGTGTTTCGTTTCTCCTCGCTGTGCTCGTGCTTCGCGAAACCGCCTTCGTAGCAAATGGCATTGGGCTCGTGCTTCGCAGCGCCACTCTCTTAGATGATGGCATCGGGTTCGTGTGTCTCTGCGCCACCCACATAGCTGGTGGCGCTGGGCTACTGCTGTGCGTCAACCGAATAACCGATGACGTCGGGTTCGTAGTTCGTGCTGCCGCCCTCGTAGATGCTGGCGCCGGGCTCGCGGCTGGTGGCTGCCACTGCCTCTCTGCCACTGCTACGACCACTGCCAGCCATGCACAAGCTGTCACTGCTGCCCAATGCCGCCCCGTCTCGTAGGTCTGACGCAACTGTTTCCGCTGATGCCACTTCCCGCACGTTCTGATCTGTAGCTGGTGGCTGTTGGCCCCATTCCCTTTTTGATGCGCGGTTTATTTGAACACCTCCTGATGCACCACAGCGCCGATCGGCGCAATAATTACCAACACTACCGTGTCTACATGAGTCTGGCAAAATTCTTGGTCGCACCACCGACCGTGCCACTCTTTTAAACTTGCATCCAGCCAGCTCGCCTTTTGCGCATTTGAAGCCGCAGTTGGTCCATGACAGTGACCGTATGTAAACTGCACCGCCTGCTGGCGCGACTTCCTGGCCGTCGCAAGCATCGGGACCACGGATTCCAGTTCGCGATCTGTTACTCATTGCGCACGTTGCGGACCTGCGGCTGCGCGAGCCACGATGGCTCGCCTTGCCGCGCTCGCGCCTTCACATCGGTTGTTTGCGCCCTTCAAGCCGCCACCGCGAAACTACGGCCCGATTGCCGGGGCCAGCCCCCGTCGGATGCGGCGCGCGCGGGCGGGCGCGGCATGAAGGGGCGAGCGCGGTGGCTGAATACCGCATGTTATTTGTTTGTCCTCCTCCTCATCCTCCTCGTCCTCCTCCTCCTCATCCTCCTCCTCGCCCCTCCTGCTTCTCCTCATCCTCTTCCTCCGCCTCCTCCTCCTCCTCCTCCTCCTCCCCTCCTCCTCCTCCTCCTCCTCCTCCTCCTCCTCTTCCTCCTCCTCCTCCTCCGAGGTTCCGTGTGTCTGAGCAGTCTCGTTTTCGTGTCCTTCAGGTCGAGCGGAAGGCGGCTTTGGTTCGGAAGCGTCTTATGAGGTCCACACTGCAGGCCATCAGCGCTGATCAGGCTTTGCGGAAGACTGAAAGAATGAGGTCCGCTGCTGATGCCGCCGCCGCTGACTTTGTCCCTCCTCTTCCTCCCCCTCCGCCTCCCCCTCCCCCGCCCAACCCCGCTGCTGTCGCCCTCTTCTGCTCTGGGCATGCAGTGGACGGCGACGGCTTGAAGTGCACGAGGTGTCGCAACTCGTGCACGAAGGCGGGGCGCACGCGCTGGCTATCCACCTCCTGTCATCCTCTCTTGCCCTTGTCTCGGGGTCTACTACAGCCTCCCGCGGGGGTACATATTCATCTGGCAGGGGGTTGGGTGCACAGCTGTCATGCCATGTGCTATCATGAAGTTTCGAAGGTTTGGATCTGTCGAGCTTGTGACTACTTCGGAGCTGAGCAGCTTCGAGGGCTTTCGTCCACTTGCCTCCCTTCGAAGATCACCAAGAAGCAGAGGGAATACCTCTCCAGATTCGAGAGGGGACTTCCCCCCAAGTAGTCAGACTTTTATTGCTTCGCAATCGTTCCGAATCCGAATCCGAATCCTCCTCCTCCTCCTCCTCCGAATCCTCCTCCTCCTCCTCCTCCTCCTCCTCCTCCTCCTCTCCCTCCTCCTCCTCCTCCTCCTCCTCCTCCTCCTCCTCCTCCTCCCTCCTCCTCCTCCTCCTCCCCCCCCCTCCTCCTCCTCCTCCTCCTCTCCTCCTCCTCCTCCTCCTCGTCCTCGTCCTCGTCCTCCTCCTCCTCCTCCTCCTCCTCTCCTCCTCCTCCCCCTCCTCCTCCTCCTCCTCCTCCTCCTCCTCCTCCTCCTCCTCCTCCTCCTCCTCCTCTCCTCCTCCTCCTCCGCGTCCTCCTCCTCTTTTGTCAATCATCTCATTCTCATTCTCCGCCTCCGCTTCTTCACCTCGTCCCCCTTTGTCAATGCTCGACGAGAAAGTTGTGCGAGCGCCGCATGTCCTCCTCCGTCACCCCGCCGTTTCCCCTCGCTGCCGCTCCCCTGTCCTCACTTCCCGCTTCCCGCGCCCCACCCCTCAATGTCCACCCACCCGTCCGCCTCCGCCCCCTTTGCGGGGGCACGAAGCTACCATGACCGATGTTCCCTGGATCTTTCAGGGGGTGCGATCGGACAAAACTTTGAAACAAATCCAGGGTGCGAGGCAAAGGTGCGGCAAATTAAGGTCGAGACGACGTCGGCGCGAGTTTCTAACACCGCGTGGCTCGGATTGTAAAATCGTTCTGTATTGGTCGATTGTTGGCAACCCGCGGCGTTCAAATTTTGACGGTCGCGGCGGGGTCGTCGCCGCGTCGGCAGGACACGAACATGCCGTGAAATGTTCTTCTTCCGACCCTCCCCGCCCGATTTCCTGGGGCTCTTATCGAACGCGCGCGCTGCAGCCGACTGAACCACCGCGGGCATTGCGAAACCCGGCGCCCTCGCCGCCGCCGCCGAGGGGTTTGCCCGAGCGGAAGGGCCACCACCGCAGGGGGTCGATGAGGACGTCAGCTCCGTGCGTTTCCCAGAAAGGGGGGGAAGGAGGGGGGGGAGGAACAGGACGGAAGAGGGTAGAGGAGGAGGGAGACAGAAAAGGGACAGCGTTAGCCATAGTGGGAAGACGTCGAGATGGAATCGGCGATACATCGCCGATAGATCAGCGATTCGCCTCCGATGCCGAAGCCGCGCGGTCTTGGGCGGGGCGGGTGATCAGGCCCTATCGGCGATGAGTGGACGGTTGGGCGTCGATGCTCCTCCGCTTGAGGGGAGTAGGAACAGCTTCCTTCACCAGGGCCGCACGTGCCGCGTACCGACCAGACGGCGATGCCCGCGCCGCCGCTGGACGCTCGGTGTTCCTGCGCCCCAGCAGCCGCGGCGCCCAGGGGCGAGGACTGCGCTCGATCCAACCCGACGGCGCCACTGCTCCAGCTCAATCGCGCGGCGGCTGCTGAGGCGGCGCCCCTGGAATCAAGTGGCGTCGCCGAGGTTAAGCTGACGCGCCGTTTCCCGCTAAGGGTCGCGCTGCTCGCCCAGGAAGGCGCGGCGAGCGTACCCCAGACATTGCCATTGAGGCTGACGCTGGCGAAGCGAGAATTGCTACCCGCGCCCCCCCTTCGCTCCAGCCTCGCAACGCGGAGCCCAAAGAAGAATTGCGCCGCCCTGGCCCGCCGAAGGGCGGCGGCGTTAACGGCCGGGTCGTTGGGCCGCGCAGCGCCTCCTTCCGCGCCTGCCCCAACCGCCGCCCCCCCCCCCCCCCTCGCGCTTCCCCTTCCGTGACGTCGTCGACGAAAGCGCCCAAGTCAGAGCCCTCGAGGTGCAGCTCCTGTCTGTCTCCGCCGGCTTCGCCTCGCCCCGCTGCTGAGCCAGCGACTGCGACCCCGTGCGCCGGCCGGCGGGGTTGGCGAACTTGGGTCGAGCATGCCCGAGGCCCGGTCGGAGGCCGCGAGGAAGGCGCTGGCGCGCGGAGCCTCGCTGGGAGACTCGGCTTCGCGGGGGTCGCCTGCCGCCTCCTCCGCGAGCTCCCCCGTCGCGCTCGCACTGGTGGTTGACAAGGAGATTGTCAATGAGAGCCTGGAGCTCATGCTTGGTGGTCTTGCACTGCTCGCGCATGCCCTCGGGCTCGACCTTCCTGGCCCGGGGCGCGTCGATATCCTGCTTGGCGCGGTTGATCTGCCGACCAAGCGCTTCCGTAATGCTCTGCTGATTGCGCCGCGTGCGCTCTGGCTCGCTGCGCTGGGCGGACGCGCGCTTCCTCGGCGAGCCTCAGATCGAGTTGCTTTGCCTCGCGAAGCTTGGCGGTGAGGGCCACTCCCGCGCATTCCACGCCCTCGAACTCCTCGATCTCGCTCCGTTACTTTTCGAGACGACGCGCGCGCTCATCTTTGCTTTGCGGCCGGGCGTCGGTTGCTGGACCTGCTCCGACGTCGATGGTGCGCGCCCTCCTGCTTCGAGTTGTTCGACCTTCCGCCGCAACTGGTCGAGCTCGTTGCGTTCCTCGGCGCCTAGTTGCGACGCGCCGCTCCACCGCGAGCCTCCAGATCTTTACCCCCGCCAATCATATCCGCAGCTGCGACAGACGTGCCTGGTACCCCTACCCGCTTTGACTCCGCATTGTGGGCAATCCCAAGCTTTCGGTTGGCTGCGTGCGCCGCCGCTGCCCTCTGTCGGGCTGCCGCCCAGTCCGCCTCCTCCGCCGCCCCTGCCGCCCCGGCCGCGCGCGGCGCCGCGAGCGCCGCCGACGCGTTCTGCCGTTGGTCGAGCCCGCGCAAGAGGGGTTCCCAATCGGGCGACTTGGGCCGCGCGTCGGAAATAGCATGGACATTTTAAGAAGGCCGCGGCAGCGGAAGCCTCGCTGAAAGCTCGATCGATTTGGAATCTGACCCAGCAAGCGGAGCGACGCCTAGGACCAGCCATGCGGGGCCAGACGCCAGCCCTGATCGCGCCATCCAGAGCCAGAACGGCTACGGATGATGATGAAGATGACGGTGATGATGATTGTGCTGGTAGTGATGATGCTGCCGGTGCTGAGGGCGATGATGTCGCTGGTAATGATGGCGATGAGGATGGCGGCGGTGACGCTGTTGATCATGGCGATGACGATGACGATGGGGGAGGACGAGGATGATTTGCTACGGGGCTCAGGGGGGGGGGTCGGGGCGTCAGCGCCGGAGACCTCTGCCCGCCTGCAGGCGGGTACGCGCCGCTGCGCGCTCCGCGCGCGCGCGGGTGCTAGAAGGGGCCCGGCGCCGCGCCGCGCGCGTTCGACGAGGCGCGCCGGCGCCGAAGTGCAAGCCAGACACGTTCAACTGCGCCGACAGCCCCAGATCAAGGCAACGCGGCGGAGCGGCGAAGCCGCTTGGAAAAGCGAGGAGGAAACGCCATTGAACCAAGGGCTGCGGACGGTCCTCGTTCGCAATGTGTTCCCCCCTCGTTTCTGAAAGAAGGATGATCGCACCAGAGACCCTCAGCTGCATGCGCCCCCCCCCGGGGACAGCGCCCGCGCCGCGACTCGGGGCGCCCCCCGGAGACGCGCGCGCCGCGCGGGCAGTGCACAGCGAGGTGAGAGGTAGGGCTATGCAGGTGCTGCCACAGGCCAGGCCCGCACCATCGCGCGCGCCCCCCCCTGAGGAAGAAGATGAGAGCTCGACGACTGGTGCCCTGAAGGCTTAGCTGCCCGGAGGGCGCCCGCAGGCGGGGCGCCGGCAGGACCTGGCAAGGGCGAGAAAAGGAAGCAACACCACAGAGAGACCAATCAGGAGGAGGCGGCCGTAGAGAAGCGCCACGATGTACACCTGCGGGAAGAGAGACTGTTTGCGTGCGACTTATGTAGAAGAAGAACAGGATGAGCATCTGACGACAACGACCGAGACAGATGGCAAGACTGCGTCGTTGAACGCGAGAAGGAAGAGGTCGACGCGCAGCTGCGGGGAAGCGGAACTCCCCCCATGCGACTCGAGGGGCGCGCTCCAATGGAGAAGTGGCATATGCCATAAGCTAGGGCCGATTTGCGGGAACAGCGTGAGCGCAGTGAGCTCGACAATTAGGGCCGTCAGGGCTCAGCTGCCCAGAGCGGGGGCGGGGGCGCCGAAAGCGCCGCCGCCCCCCCGGCGCGAGACGACGCGGCAAGGAAGGAGAAAGGAGGCGGGAGGGAGAGGCAGGAAGACTAGACCTGGCGATTAACAGGCACGCGCGCCGAAGGATGCGAGCCTTCGCGCAGGTCGGACGCCGGCCACCTCGAGCGCACCGCGCGCGTGCTCTCGCCAAGAGGTGCAAGTTTGCAGGGCTGTGACACCCCTGCCAAAGGTTTCTGCACGGCCGCGACCCCCCTGCCAGCGGTTTCTCACCGGACTGGAGAAGAAAAAGAAGAGCGAAGGATGGAGGGGCCAGACCCGACTCCACGGGGGCGCGGGGAAGAGGCCCCTGCGACCCCCGGAGGCTGCGGGGCCGGGCGAGGGAGGAAGCTCAGGGGGAAAGAAGGAATAACACCCCCCGATGGGAGACATCCGCGCCCATGCACCTGCAGTGGGAGGAGGAAGCAGAAGAACCCTCACTTCTACGTGTGACTAACAGACAATGGGTCCGCAGAAAGTACCTATGATGGCTCCTGCTCTACGTCGTGGCATCGTCTGCGCGTGCAGAAATTGGCCCCTGCTTGTTGGGCGATTTGCGCCGGGCGACTTGCACGCGGTCCAAACGGGCAAGGAAGTCTTCGACCCGCGCCGCTTCAGCCTCCCTGATCACCGAATCTCTTTTCGAGCCTGGGAGAGGCGACGAATGCGTCCTACGCGATGTCGGCCGCCTGCAGGGGCGAAAACGTAAAACGAAGACGGGTAGCCAGCTGGCCAGTCCGGGCCCGTGCAACATCCAGCTCTGCCAGTGCGTTGAGATTCCACAGCGCGATCACAGAAATTCGGCCATGCAAGCAGTGCCCACGCGCGTCAGATGCATCGCAGCGTCGAGCGATGACCTGTTCGGCAACGCGCAGCACTCCGCACGGCACGCTCCAAAATGAACGTTTGCATGGCGACAACGCGCACACACACACAGAAGCGAAGAAAAGTAAAGACAAGCGAGGGATGGACACACGGGCGGGGACAGAAGCAAAATGTGGCCAGGGGAAGCAAGGGGATGATGGATGAGTAGAGAACAAATAAAAGAACCTTGACAATGGGGGGCAATCGAATTCTCCCGCTCATGAAACGTCGAATATCGGCGCGTTGACGATGCGGGCGGTGCCGCCGACGCGAAGCGCCGAAATGCCCCCGCATGCAACTTCGCCAATTTGTCCTTCCACCGAGACTCTCGACGACGGTCGCGCGGCCCAGAGGGCAAAGCGAAAGCAGCCGATAACCTGAGAGAAGGATGATCGCACCGGCGAGCCTCATCTGCATATGGCCACCCCCTGGGGGGCAGCGCCCGCGCCGCGAGTCCGACGCCCCCGTGAGACGCGCGCGCCTCCAGGGCAGCGCGCAGCGTAGTGAGAGGTAGAGCCAGCCAGGCCTGCACCGTCGCGCGCAGCGCCCACGGCCGGCGCGCAGGCCACAACTGCACATGGGCGGCGAAAGCCAGGCAGGCCCGTCGCGTGGGCGAGGGCGCGCAAGCGCGGCCCAGGACAGCTGGCTCCCCAGATGCCCTGCCCACGCCTGCAGCTCCTCCTCCGCGCGCCCCGGCGGCGCGCATCCGCGCAAGTGCATTGCGCCGACTTGCCTCAGTCCGTCCAGGAGGCAATGGCGGCGGCCGCCGAGGTTCGCCAGGTGCATAATCAGCTTCACTTCGTCTTCCTTCCCTGTCCTGGCCAATCGGCTAACTCTGATCGTCTGCTCGGCGCTCTCGATCTTCTCGCAAACGCTGAAGTCGCCTTGCAGCTTCGCGATGTCATCCCGGTTCTTCGCGCCGACAGCGGTCTCTGAGGCCGCGCCCAGCAGGGCGCCGAAGATGAGC